GCAGCTAAGATTTCCTCCTTCTTCTCCTCGGTCATCGTGGACGAAGGTCCAGGGACCGACTCTGAGTCTTTAACCTCTGCTGATGTTCCCGGCTCTGAAACTCCGTCCGTGGACTCTCTGCTGTCCTCATCTGTGACCTGTGCAGAAAGTACAGCTTAGACCAGGACGGCAGGCTCATTTTGTGCCGTTCAGCAGCTGCTTGGTTGGAGCATGGAGCAGTAAGAGCGATGGTTGGATCACAAACAGACAGTGGAGGGTGAAACAACATCATGTTCAAAATGTAAAGTCTGTCTTCCAAACTGATTAATGCTGCTTTACACGTAAATTTGGAGCCGTTTTGCTAAATCTGTGATGAACTTTACGCGTTTTACCAGCAAAACTTTCTGTTTCCTCAATGTGCATACCTTTTTCACAGGTCCACCAGCGTTTGATTCAGTTTTCACGGTGGATCTGCCTCAATCAGCACAGCTTCTTTTTTTCAGCCTGGTGCTGTACTTTACTTTAAATCTGAATCCCTGCATCGACTCAAAATCACACAGGACACCGTTGGGTGTTGCTGCCACGAACTCTGCACGATTCAAGCTGACAAACTGCAGCCATTTCTCACTAATTTCCTTGATTTTTGGGAAAGAGTGTGACCTAACTCCCACATAACTGTGCAACACATCGCTTCGGCATGTTGCTCCACAAATATTAGCTGCCAGAAATTACAAGTATGTGAARCACAAATCTTAAAACAATAAATCACAACGAATGCACGAAGTGAAGCAGATGAAAGTCACCAGAACCTGCATGAACGAAGCTCTTCAACCTTTCAACTCCATGTTTTGTGGGTTTGTTTATTCTCATTCAACTCGCAGATCTCGCGAGATTTAACACCGCATTCCGGACCAAAGCTGGTTTCAGTTAAATTACAATGAATTAACACAACTGTAGTTAACTCCGAGCAACAAAAACACGATCACAAACAAAAAYAACCACGTGCACAAAAATGTAGAGGAACTTTTGTGTCGTCTTCTTTAACTCTCGCGATATCAAGTCATTGTTGCAGCGGGCTAACCGTGGAGATGAGAACCCTTCCTTTGTGTCGTTTACACTGAATCAACATYAAATAGTTTCAGACACGTTGCCTTTTTTTTATCCATTTACCTGAAAACACGAAGACGTGCAGCTCAAAGCCCGCTAAGCTAACGCTAGCATGCCCGTTAGCTTCCTGTTAGCTTAGCTCCCGGGTCAAAATACACCGTTCAGCTCTAACGGGCAGCGTTGTGTGAGTGATGGGTGTATTTTACACACTGACAGGATGGATTTCGTGTTTCCTGGATGGATTCGGGACAAATGCGAGGACTAAAAAGGGCAACATTAACAACGTGCAGATAATTATTACCGCGGGTTGGTCGGACGAGACCTGATTGGTGGCCCGTTGTTCGGCTCCGTCTCCGGCTTCCTCCATGCCTCCACCAAATAAATTACAAATAAAACAAACGGAGTGGTTTTTACTTYCTTCCGAGGCTCTAAAACTAAACTGTGACTTATCTTTTATCCTCGCTGTGCAGAATTCGCAGACTGCGCTTTTCCTCGTTGTKTTTATCCATCGGCGGATAGCGGAGGAGTGTGCGCACTACCGCCACCTGGCGCTCAAATTAACACACTGCAACAAAACAACCGTTCTGCGTGGATCTCAGGGCAGGAAAAAACCACAGAAGTTTCACAAATCACAAACTATGTCTGAGATAYTCTGCTATAAGTGTAAAATAATYTAGTCTTGGTTTGAAGAGTCTAGGGCAGAGGAGCCCAAAGTGGGGCCCGCGGGCCAAATTTGACCCGCCAAGCCATTTGATTTGGCCCACCAACAGTTGCCAAAGTTACAAGGTTGTAACCTGTTWTCCTATGTAGAAACACAGTATTTCCATTGGTCAAATGACTATAAAAGGGCTGTAGTGAAGGTAGTTTTCAGTCATGGTGCTGACTTTATCTTTGATTTATTAGGATAAAACATGAAACATGAAATGACAAGAAATATTTAGATCAGATTTAACCCCACATGTAGATTTTCACACTTTACAAGGCCACAAAAACTCATATTTTATCACTTTGTGAAATGTCCCATGAGCCTTTGCTACTTGTGCGTATGGCAGACTTTCTCCAAGTGCACAGACTAAAACAAAAGAGGGCCATTGCAAAGCTTGATTGTTAAAAATAAAGGACTTTACTTAAAAAACATTTGTATTTCATGTATTATATAACTGCATTTGGCCCACAGCCCTGGATAGATTTTCATTTTGGCCCCCTCGGGGAAAATGTTAGGGCACCCCTGGTCTAAGGGTTGTAGTTTGGGAGCTGGAGCAGTTCTAGTGTGGTACAGGTGCATAAAAAATACTGGAAAAAACTGGAAAAACAGTCTGGTTTCCAGTTGAGGAAACTTAGTCTGAATAGTGGAAAAAAATAATAAAATAATACGCACTGTACAACATGTACTAGTACTAATTAGGGGTGCACCACTAGTAATAATAACAAATTAAATGTTTCTGTTTGTAATAATATTAAAAGCTGACATATTTGTTTCTTGCGCCCTCTCTGAACCTAACCTGGACCTGAACTCCTCTGCTGCAGCGRGTTTGTGTACTTGGAGTATTTTCCAATTTCAGAAAAAGAAATGTTGATTTATTTTCTAAAAACTCGTGATTCGTGTATTAGGTGAGATCATTTGTGGGTGTTTACCTTCATCATCTGCAGCACTGGACGTAGAAAACTGTGGCGTATTTTTGGCCCTCAGCTCCTCCTGACTTTATGATTTTGGCCCATGTGACAAAATGTTTGGACAGTCCTAACTCATGACAAAGGTACAGAAAAATATAAACAATGTTCTGTTTTTTAATTCCTATTTGATGTGTGGAGGTGGGTATTACAGCAACACATCTTACACAGGTTTTTACTGAAGCACATCTRAAAATAACCGTCAATAATCAAGAGTAAAATAACATCTGATTAGTTATTTAAAGGTGATAATCAGACGTAAAACTACGAAGCTATTACAAATCTGTTTATTTACAAAAGGTAATGCAGAAGAAACACTTTAATACAAACAGATTAAATCTGGTTGTAACCTGGGATACAGCAGAAAGACACAAACATTTTGTGTAAAATTAAGACTGCATGTTTTGAGGCTTTGATGTTTTATCAGTGTGTATAAAGCAGCTCAAAGTGATACTTGAGTAAAAGTACAAATATTTTATCATGAAATTATTTTGGTAAAAGTTAAAGTCTCCTCTAATATTTGAGTAAAAGTATTTAAGTATATTTTTTGTACTTAAGCATCAAAAGTAGATTTCTGACATAAAATAAAAATTGAAAGTAAAAGTAATGAGTAAAAATGATTAATACTTTATTAATCCCTGACAGAAATTCAAGGCTTCCAGCAACTGTACATTTACAGACAATATAAATAAAAATCAATCAACTAATCAAATTTACCATGTCCAGGAGGTGCAGTTYACCACGATAATATTTTAACAATAAGAAGTCAGAATGAAATAACTTTCTAATTCTTACCTTTTTATAATGTAAGTAGAAGTACAATGTCAGCTGAAAAATTACTCAAGTACAGATAAATAAATTTCTACGCAAGTACAGCATTTGTACATTATATAGTATATTATATATATACACATTCACACACACACACACACACA